GGCAACTACTACCAAGATTACAGCCTAAATATTTGCAGACTAATTTGGTTAATATTTAGTCCCTTTGATTAAGGAACTAATTATGGTTATTTCTACACTCCCCCTCAAGTTGGGCATTCGGTGCTCCAATGCCTAACTTGCGTAATGCCTCATCGAATGCTTCACTGTTGACAGCTTTTGTCAGGATATCAGCTAACTGATCTCTTGATCTCACAAATGGAAGTTTAATTATCTTATCTTCCAATTTGTCTTTTATGAAGTGTCTGTCTATCTCAACATGCTTCGTTCTGTCGTGTTGAACTGGATTTTCTGAGATACTTATTGCTGCTTTGTTATCACAAAAGAGTTTGCATGCTGTTTTTTTGTGGAAAACCAATTTCACTCATAAGTTTCCGGATCCATAAGATTTCAGTTATCCCTTTTGCAATACCTCTGAATTCTGCCTCTGCACTTGACAAAGCCACTACTTTCTGTTTCTTACTTCTCCAGGTGACCAAATTACCTCCTACTAGGGTGAAGTATCCAGAGGTGGATTTTCTACCATCACGATCTCCTGCCCAATCTGCGTCCGTGTACGCAATTAGATCTAGGTGATCATTCTTGTCAAAGTAAATCCCAGTACTACTTGTACCCTTTAGGTACCTCAAAATCCTCATTACTACTGTCATGTGTTGTACTTGTGGAAGATGCATGAATCTGCTCACTACCCCTACTGCATAGGCTATGTCTGGTCTTGTGTGAGCTAAGTAAATAAGTTTTCCCACAATCTTTTGATACTGCTCTTTATTAGTCAATTTTGCACCTTCAAGAATTTGAAGGCCATGATTTTCCACAATCGGAGTTTCAGCTGGTTTGCAACCAAGCATTCCTGTTTCTGCCAGAAGGTCAAGAATATATTTCCTCTGGTGAATGAAGATCCCTTGCTTTGATCTCAAGACCTCTATGCCAAGAAAGTATTTGAGGTTGCCCAAATCTTTCATCTCAAATTCCTGAAATAATTTTCCCTCTAACTCTGCAATCTCCTCTTCACCATTTCCTGTAATAATCATGTCATCTACATAGATGATTAAACAGGTAATTTTCTCTTTTTCTTTTTTCAGAAATAAAGTATGATCGGAATTACTTTGCCTATATCCAAACTTCTTCATAGCTTTTGTGAATCTTCCGAACCACGCCCTAGGAGACTGTTTTAGTCCATAGAGAGCCTTCCTCAATCTGCATCCTTCCCTATCTCTAAAATCATGAGAATATCCAGGAGGTACCTCCATATACACCTCCTCGTCAATGCTTCCATGAAGGAAGGCATTTTTCACATCAAACTGGTACAGAGGCCATTCCTTGTTTGCAGCTACAGAAAACAGAACTCGTATCGTGTCAATTTTGGCTACAGGAGAGAAAGTTTCTGAGTAGTCTATTCCATATGTCTGAGTGTATCCCTTAGCAACCAGTCGTGCTTTGTATCTCTCAATAGTTCCATCTGCTTTGTATTTGATGGAGAATACCCATCTACATCCCACCTTCTTCTTCCCCTTTGGTAAGATGCATTTCTCCCAAGTCTTGTTTTTCTGTAGGGCCTGCTTCCATTTTTCATTCTTGACAGCTTCCTCCAAATTCTTTGGAATGTCTGCGGAGTATAAAGAGGCATTGAAAGCTATGGCTGTGCTGGACAGATTTTCAGTGCTGATTCTTTCGATTGGATATCTCGACCGTTGGTCCTCATATTCAGGATCATATCTCCTTGGTGGAACTCCTCTCGTACTTCTAGGAGGTAACTCATACCTGTTTTGTTCACTTTCATTGGAGACAGGATTAATTTCAGGCATATTGTAGGAAACAGGAGAGCTTTCAGATGGTACCTCTTCTGATGATGGAATGTCATCAGATGGATGCTCATTTGGCGGATCTGGTGGAGACTGAAGAGGAAGTGGGACTACTGCTTCTGGGGTAGCATCGGTGGTATTGCCTACTTGTGTTGTAGGATCTGGGTCCACCATTTTTGGATATGTCAACCAGCTAAGGTCATCACTCAAATTCTCCCCCTGAGGACCTAGCTGGGTGTAATAGTAAGTTTGTTCAAAGAACTCACAGTCTAAGGTGGTGTAGACCCTTTTTTGAATTGGATCATAACAACGGTACCCTTTTTGATAAATTCCATACCCAATAAAGACACATTTAATTGCCCTAGGTTCGAGCTTATTTCGAGCCCGTTTTGGTAAATGAACATAGACAACGCACCCAAAGACTCGTGGAGGTAAAGAATGGACTGATGGGATGGTGACATGAGAGGATAAGGTGTCAAGAGGTGTTTGGTAGTCAAGCGGTTTACTAGGAAGTCGGTTTGTGAGATAGGTGGAAGTAGCAATGGCTTCTGGCCAAAAATAGACCGGGACATGGGATTCTAACATGATAGCTCTGGTTATTTCAAGAAGGGTTTGATTTTTCTGTTCGGCAATTCCATTTTGTTGGGGAGTGTCTGGGCATGTGGTTTGGTGAATCAGACCATGGTCAATAATGAATTGTTCCATATCTAAGGTTATATATTCCCCCCCCCCCCATTGTCCGATCGTAAAATTTGTGGGTGAGCATGAAACTGAGTGCATATCATATGATAAAATTTAACAAAGACATCAAACACTTCAGATTTATGTTTTAAGAAATAAATCCAACTCATACGAGTACAATCATCCACAAATAAAACAAAATAAGAATAGTTATGGAACGCAAATTCAGGCGCTGGGCCCCAGACATCGGAATGAATCAAAACAAAAGGTTTAGAGGCATGACTTAAACTAGGATGATAAGTATGTTTATGACTCTTAGCTAAGACACATGCTTCACAGTTCAATGCTACATCAATATTTTTAAAAGAGGGAAATAAACGTTTTAGGTAACCAAGAAAGGGGTGACCTAGCCGACGATGCCACATCCAAAGTTGGCTTTCCGGTGATCCATGAGCAAGCAAAGCGTTACCCTGTTGAGCCTCCTCATCCACATAGTACAAACCCCCTCGTTCAGTACCACGCCCAATGATCCGTCCTGTTAGAGCATCCTGCACAATACAACCAGAATCCGTTAATAAGACAGTACAATTAAGCTCTTTAGTCAACTGACTCACAGATAAAAGCTTATGAGTAAGACTGGGAATTAAAAGAAAATTATTTAAATGTATATCTGAAGTAACATCAATAATCCCAGTCTTGGTAACAGGAATATATTCCCCATTTGCTGTTTGGATTTGGTTTCGGTGAGAGGTTTGGGTGGCTTTAATATCTGATGGATCACTCGTCATAGTGTCAGTGGCTTCGCAGTCAAAAATCCATGGAGTGATTTTATTACAAACAAAGCCAAGAGGTTTCGGGCTTAAGTCATTGGGCTGTAAGTTTTCGGTTTGGGCTTCCAAACAAATGGGACCGGTTAGAGGAAGATTGAGAGAGTGAGTTTTGTGGGCTAAGTTTTCTTCCCTTTCCTCACTTCTCCTAGCCGACATATGTAAGAGGATTTCATCCTCTTTCCTTCTTTCATCCTCACTTTCTATTTTTTGAATCTCACTTTCCATACTCTGCTCCCTACTGTCCTTACCACCATTTTTATCGGTGACATTTTCTTCTTCTCTCATGCCCGAAATTCCTGTGTTGCCTGAGATGTTGTCTGAAATGTTGCCGGATCCGGTGCTTTCTGGGTTCCAGTACACGGCGACACTGGCCTTGCCGCCGGCTCCGGCCTTGGTGGCGGCCTTCTTCTTCGTGTACTCCTCCCACCATTCTGGATACCCGATAATTTCGAAACACCCTTTCTTGGCGTGTTTCGTTCCTCCACAATGGGTACATTTTAGGTGGGTTTTGTCTTCTCCCCGGAATGAGGATTCCGACCGGCGATTAACAACGAGCCCGCTTCCAATTTCTGAGGGATTTTGTCCTGATGATGAAACACCGGTCATTATCCCGCGACGCTGCGTCAATTGATGGAAGAGGGTCGTGATTCAGTAAGTCCCTCTTCTCTTTGTCCAGTGAGTCGTTTACACCGGCCAAAAATTGGTATAATCTTTGCCTCTGTATAAACGAATTAAAGAGAGTGATGTCTTCTGGGCACTGCATTGGATTTGGCATTCTCCTATCAATCTCTTTCCAGAGGGTATTCAGTTTACTGAAATACACCTCTAACTTTTTGTTTCCCTGCTTCAAAGATGCAGCCTTTGTGTTCAGATCAAAGGTATGTAATTCGTCCCTCCCACTACTGAGTGAGGTTTCAATGCCCTTCCATAGATCTCGAGCATATTTATAATCTAGAAATTGGTTCACTAGATCTCCATCGATGTTTTCGATGATCCGGGAGAGAACTAATGAGTCCCGTTGTGCCCATTGTGTGTACTCCGGGTCGTCCAATGGTACGGGGTTGGCAGTGATGTGATTGAGCCTTCCCCGACCACCAATTGCTATTTGCATCAGTTCACACCATTTTGTGTAATTCGTGAAGGTTAATTTTTCGGCCACACGCACTGTTTGTGATGTACCGGATTCTGGATTATTTTGTGTTTTGTTCATTTTCTGGAATAATTGGAACATTTGTTCCATTTGTTCCATGGAAATTAACTGGTTGTTTGGTGGTTGTTCGTCCATCGCAGGTAAGTTCTCCGATAAATGATGAGGAAAAACAAGGTTTCGTTTCCCAAATCGAACCTTACGGCTCTGATACCATATAGAGAAAAATAACGCGGAATAAGGTTTGTAATTTTTTTTGTGTGTTTATTGCTTGTGATAGTACAAATATTTATACACAGAAGTATCCTGTAAATTAGGCAACTACTACCAAGATTACAGCCTAAATATTTGCAGACTAAATTGGTTAATATTTAGTCCCTTTGATTAAGGAACTAATTATGGTTATTTCTACACCCTCGAGGGCAGTTAACATGTTATTCCTTGCAGCTACTAAGTATGCTACTCGTAGCCTGCAAGATAGGCATACCTGTTCAAACCATCCCATTTCCAAACTTCGGATACTAAAAGAACAAGCCATGTATTGAAAGACATTGAATTGAATCAAAAGAAGGACGAAAAGCTAAAGAAATTTTTCCTTAATCATGTATAACTTTAGAAATGTACAAGTCTATTAGTCTATCAATAAACTACCTATCTCAGCTCTCGTAGAACTATCATCTTTCATAAGGCTGATACTAAACCATACTAGAAGTATTACCCCCGCCAAGAAATGCTAGAGGATGAAACCATTCAAAATCCAATCAAACTGGCTGCATCCGACTTCAATTCCTAAACAACCCGAGCTCATATGAGTCACATCGACATGTTAAGATCAATCTTAGGCTTCTTATTCATCGTAGGCAAATGAACAACTGAATTGCACTTAGGACATTTAGGATCATTCTTCGATATCAACACATATAGCAAGCAAGCAGGGCAAGCTGCAGCAACCAATAACCCTTTATTTTGATTATCAGAAGGTAAAGAATTCGACAACCTTGATGACTCCCGTTCCTCCTCACCAATAGACAATGACAAGGAATTCGAGGGTGATGGAGACGACTTTGATGATGATCTGACAGTCGTAGGCATCATCATCCAACGCTTCTTAGATGAAGACGACGAGGAAGTTGATGATGAGGATGTAGGTGAGGCTCTCTCAGCTCTATCAAGAGCTGATTTCACCTTGTCTAAAGTACACACACTTGAATAATTTGAGGGTTGATTATTAGGGATTAACTTAAGGTCTAAACTTGGTTGTTCAAGCAGTCCAAGTGTTGGCTTTGTATTGGATGATGATGATGATGATTGTTGAAACACGTTTAAATCTTGTGGTTTGGTGGAAATCTCTTTTGCCATTTTCTTATGTTCAGATGCTGAGTTTGCAGGATTGCTTCTCTGTATGTAGACTTTTCCTGACTGCAGAACAATACAGATACAACGCGTTAATAAACCCGAACATTAATTACACCAATCAATACGTGACACTAATATGACCCGTCTTATGATATAGTACTATGTTCAATTTGCCCTTGGGGCTATGAATATCAAACACCATTTTTTAATTTTTTGTTTTACTCTACTATCAGAAAACAGAACATAGTACTCATAATTAGTCTCGAAATACCCTCAAACAAACACAATTAAAAACAGGTTTAGCTAGGTTTTTTCTTTCTTTGAAAAACTACAATATTAATTACTCTTCTCAGTCTTTAAGATTGAATTTTGACCACTTATATTTCAAAAAATTATCAATAAATATTATACAAAGTACTATAGTTACCTTTGAGGTATTAATTAATTCTTCATATTTCTTCTATAATTGCATCCTTTAAACTTTCACGTTTGTCAATCAAAACTTTTGACTATATTAATATCTCTAGTTATCTTTTTTTTTTTTAAAAAAAATTGATATTTTGAAAGTAGATATTAAGACGTATCTAACCAAGTTACACGTGATTGGTAAATACTCGGTAGTTTAAAAGTCCAATAACGGAGGAAATAACTTGAATTACATGTATTAAAGATAAATCAACTCCAACATTATCAACCCTATTTAACAGGAGAATTAACTTAACATATGCCAACAAAAATTAATTGTCCTGACCTTCAAATTTAAGGTAAGGTAATAGGATTATAAAATAATTATTTAAAAATTAATCAAGATTTGAACTTTGTAACATCTTAACATTTACAGATATAATCAGAGGAAATATATAAAAAGAGAAATAATAATAGAAAAAAAAAAATGAACGTGAGCAATCACTATGCTTAAAAGTCACACATTGATCATCGTAGCATTTATTATATCACTTAAATGATGCAATAAATTTAAATAAATACATTTCTTCAACATTAAAAACGAAATAAATTAAAAAAACAAAAATATAAAGTGCAAAATTTTTAATGAACTAGTCGCATAACTATAAGTCTATAACCCATACATATGATCAACAATTATCTATTGAAAAGAAGGTCACGAGCCTTTTAAACCCAAACCCGGGCACAATCAAAACATACGAAACGAAAAGAAAAATAAAATAAAAGTATGGTACCTTAAGATCAAGACGTTTTTCCCAACCATTAGGAACATGCAAATCAAGGTCTAATTCTTTAGAATCAATACCAAAACACCCACCAAGAAAATCACGAGTAATTAACCCAGATTTCGTATTATTATCTTTAATCAACATACTAACATCAGCAGCCATAATTTTATTCAAAATATGAAACAGAGGAGAGAGAAAATGATGAAAAAAAGGAGAGAGAAAATAGGAAGGAAAAAAGTGGAGATATGAAAAGAATGAAGAAAGAAAAATGAATAAATAAAAAAAAAAAGGGGAAGTTCGAATTAATTACGGGGTGGGAAGAAAATGATGAAAATTAAATGAGTGTTTGGAATTGGGTGTGAGAAAAAAATTAAATAACCATTAATTAGTTTTGGTTTTATTGGTGTTGGAATTTAATGTTATAGCCAAGAATGAAAGTAGCGTAGTAGTAATAAAGAAGGGATATTGAAGAGTTGTGGGGTAAACTAATTAATTAATAATTTCCAAGGAGAGAGAAAATATTTATTTATAAATGTAAAAGGAGGCGTGTGAGTAATTGGGGGGTGTATTTAATGTTGTTTGATGAATGATAATTAATTAATGTACAAATGGATGTCTTTTATTGTGATTGTTTTGGTATTCTTTTTATGGTCTATATTGGATAATTAATTAGGTAACCTACTATGACAAATCTTAAGTACTTATGATGAATGATTAGGGGTGGGACTTTTCAAACCGAACCGTGAAACCGCCCGTTACCAAACCGAACCATCACGGACCGATCCGTTTATAAACCGATAAATATAAACCGAAAACCGAACTGAACCGTTCAATATCAAACCGAAACCGAATTGAACCGCTCAATGTCAACCCGTTACGGACCGTAAACCGATAACAAACCAAACTGCGGAAATCCGAACCGAAACGAAACCGAACCGAATGGTTTATAAACCCGTTAATGACCCGAACCGTTTATAAACCGAAACCGTTTAAATCGAAAAAAAAACCGTTTGAACCGAACCATTTGTAACCCGCTAACCGTTTAAACCGACCCGTTTATGGACCGAAACCGTTTAAACCGCACGTATAAACCTAACCGTTATAATCCGCTAACCGTCTAAACTGAACTGTCATAACCCGTTAAACCGTTAAAATCGAACTGTTTTCGAATCGCAACCTGTTTAAACTGATCCGATTACAAACTGCTTAATTCAAATTGAATTATTTACAACCTAAATGGCTAAATAGTAAATACAATTAATGTTAATAAATGTAGATCTAATCAAACGGCTTAGGTTTATACAAATATATCACCTAGATCTAGGCCAACGGCATTATTAATATCGTTTTAGATTACTTATTTATTTTTTATTACAAGATATATCATTTGTATCATTTTCATTCCAGTAATAATGCTAGTCCACCCAAATTATCTTCATTGTTCCTTGATATTCATGATCATCCAATAACACTCAAAGCCTCAAAGATAACATAAGATTGGAGATGTATGAGATTGCGTTACACAAGTGGCATAAGCATTAGAATATTACTGTACTAGTCAATAAGGCGTACAATCATTCACATTATCACTTTATAAAACTTTCTTATACAAGTATTTTGCAAAGGGGAGGACTAAAATGTTTATAAAACACATTTTTTTAGCTTTTCTTAAATTAAACCAGATATTAAGTAAAAGAATTTTAATAAATACGGAGGCATCCCAAATCTGTAATCGTACATTAGTATTGCATATGATTTCATCACCACTTTAATTAGTGATTTCGTGATTTCGTCCATTTAACTTATTAAGTTGTTTGAGTTAGTAATCTAAATAAAGTAACAAACTAAATAACGAATCCTTTTAATCTCGTGTAAGTTATAATTTATAAGAAATGCAATGTTTGGAAATGGAAATTGATTCAATACGATATTGTTAATGTATATGTAATTATAGATTAATTATTATGTATATCATATCGTACGAATGTACGGTTGGTATCATTATCATACTATCATAAGTATCATTGTCTCATTGAATTATTGGTATGTACTACAATCGATAAACATATTTACATATCTGATTATTAAAACTTAAAAGTTTAAAACACTTGTTGATCAATCTAATTGAATACTTATACATTCTTAATTATCGATTTATCATATTATAAGTATCAACTCATTAAATCATGGTCATGACGCGATCTTTAAAACAATCATGAATTCATGACCCAAACCGCTTATAAACCGAACCGACATGATCCAAACCGTTCATAAACCGAACCAATTGAACTGTGTAAATCCTCTACTAAACCGGCCCATTTCAAACTGAACCGACATGATTCGCACCGTTTATAAACCGAACCGATATTGACCCGGGTAAATCCGCTCCCAAACTGACCTATTTCAAACCAAACCGGCTTGATCCAAACCGTTTGTAAACCGAACTGACATTGGCCCGGGTAAACCCGCCCCTTAAACCGACCCGTATCAAACCGAACCGACATAATCCGAATCGTTTATAAACCGACCCGCTTATGACCCAAACCGAATTTAAACCGCAAAGAAATAAACCAAAACCAAACCGAGCCGTGACTAACCCAAACCGAACCAAACCAACCCGCCAGCTAAACTAAACCGTTTCAATCCGAACCGCTCCAAACCGAAACCGACTCAAACCGAGGTCAAACCGAACCGCCAGACCGAAGTCCCACCCCTATGAATGATGAATGACTAGTACGTCCTTGGCATCTTTGGTCTATATAAATGTACATGTACATACGGAGTTATTGTGAATTTATAATCAATGAATATTTCGTGGATGGATGGACCTACTCGTTATTATTAGGGTTGTGTTATTGGGCATCAAGGTCGGAGAATTCTAATTTGAAAATTTTGGGTCGTGGTTTGGGTTTGAGGTTGCGCGTTGGGAATTAGATTGACTTGATTGTCAGACCCATGTTTTTATCGTGTCGGATCGTGTCGCGTTTTTTTAAATATTATTTTATGTCAAAGTGTTAAGAGTTTTGAGTTTTGACATGCCCATCTGTAGTAATCGTGCCTTTTGTATCTTGATTCAGCTTGTTAGGGCAGGCCGGTGCCATCTTTAAAAATTCTAATCCGACCACTTTTAAATCACGTCATGCTCATTATGAATAAATAAGGGAGGTGGGGTGGGGCGGAGTGGGCACTTAAGTAGTCATACTATGTAAAAGTACACCCAAACAATATAACCCAATTTGCTGACTTAAATGGTTAAATCATCAAAATTGTACCTAAAATTAGATGACTCAAATTGCAATTGATTTGAACCAAAATAAATTAAATACTTAGTATAATCGAAACTTATCTACTTTCCATAGTAAATTGATTTCCATTGAATCTGAAAATGACCCGATCCAAACAAAAATGATTGCTCTGTAACTCTCCAAAATCGAATGCTGTATTTCCTTTGTCACTTATATAGATTTTTTATAGCTCACGGGCCTTTCCCACACAAAAAGGCCAAAAAAAAGTACTTACATTATCAAGCATAACTTCACACCTCTCGTCCATTACGCCGTTTCGCACGCTTTCTATGGGACCATATATGATGATATTCAATTGTAACACCAAATACCAAGTAATCCAATTTCAGATTTGACCCAACATAATAAATTATTAATGCAAAACAAAACAATACACTAAGTCCCAATCCTCCCAAATATTAACCACTGATATTTCGAAACAAAGAACTTACAAAGTTTGGAAGCATGCCTCTTTTCTTCTTGCAAAGGTTGAACACGAGTTTTTTAAGACTGAATTCAGCTTCTTTAGTTGCCCCTTTTTTTTTTTCCTACAATCACCCCTAAACTTGTGTCGGTTCGCTTCACTAGTTTGTACTGAATTACTCCGTTTTTGTATCAGTTTGATGTTTATAATGGGTTTTTGATTGTGAGTTTTTGTATGCATGAATCAATGCAAAGTTGTGTTTACAAGTCGACTATTGGAGATTGTACATAACACGACAACTCGACAAGTCATGGGGTAAAAGGGGTGAATATTCTGCAAATGATCCCAAAAAAATGAATTATGATACTTGTAGTTGATTACAGTTCAGCTTAAGCTATATGTATACTCCCATCTCTGAGACTCTAATGTTAGAGTAACATTAGAGTCTCAGAGGATACAGTTGCAATTCTTGCAGACAGTATGGAATAAAAAAAATTTAATGTACGTAATAGTTTTTATGATTGTACAAACCCTGAAGCACCAAATTCATCTTACTTGAATTTGCTGAAGGTAGTTTAAGTGTTTAACCAATGAAAAGAATTTGCTGAAGGTGTTTGTTGAATCTTTACCTAAGCAACTTTAAGCTCGGCCAATCTCAAATAAGCAAGATCCTCTGAGAATAGTACGCCACTAGGAGAAAGAAGGCGTCTAAGAGAAATCAAGAAGCGTGCCTGTGTATTGTATGAGAGAAAATTGATCAGAAGATGCCTAATGACTTGCTCTGAACAGATATCAGTTACTTCATAATAAACTTGAGAAAAGAAAGGTACCCATTGAAATCCAACAAGGGCACTCCAACAGCCTAATAAGCCTAATCCTTGACTTCTCACGAGCTGTCAGATTTTGAACAAAGGCAGAAATATGCATCAATTTCACCCTAGGAGGAGAGGATAACAAATTTATGATTGTAAGATATTTTAAATACTAAGGAAGATCAGCAGAATACCAGTAATACAATTCCGCCTAAAGCGAAACATCCACTCATTGATACACTAATGAATTTGAGATCCCTGCCAGCCTTCACATGAAAAAAAGCAAAACATCTCAAATTTTTAATCTGTTACTTGATCATCATATCAATAGCTACAGAAATTAAACAAAAGACGACAATTAAGCAGCATGTGTCAAACGGGTCAGCAGAGTTGGGTTTGGGTCGATCATCATAGATTTCTGGATTTGAAGTGCTTATTTGCACCATAATTTAATGGGCTTTTGAAATGATATTCACATTTGGTCCTTTTTCTCAGTCAGGTTGAGGTCTGTAAAGCTCAATTTGTGGGAAAGAATTTTAGGCTAACTTTACAGGGACTTTCATATATCAAGATTACAAATTTACAAGTTAGATTTAGTCAGATTTAACCCGGTTAGGTCAACAATTGACAGGATGCCAGCCAACAAATTGAGTGTGATACTTTAATATACAGCTCTACAAGTGGAAAACTATATTCATCGCAATGAAAAAGATAATATTCAATGAAACAAGGAAGCAAGTTAGATTTTACCAGCAATGTACCCTCACAGGGGAGTATACAAGGTGTCACACTCAAAGCCAAGAAGAAACAAATCCAAACATTGCGCATCTGCATACAGAGACAATGCCGTTATTCCAAAGGATGTGGACATAGTTCAAAACCTTAAGACACCAAGATACAGAATGGGCGAGGAATGTAACAAATTCAACCAACCTCTCCTATCACTACTGTATCAGATGTGAAGAGATTTGGAACAACAAAAGGGACCGCAGTTGCGGCAGTTCCTAGAAGAAGTCCAAGAAACGCTCCTATTATCAGAAGAGACTTCAATAGAGATCTCGCCTGTTTGTAAAAACAAACTACATGAAACTTAGGATATCTTTAAAACCTTAAATGGAAATAAGGAATGATTTCAAGATTTTGGCTGTACCTACTGCATATAATGTATTGATGTTAAAGTTATACCAACAAATAAGGCACATTCGGTATATTCTCCAATATCTCACACTTTCCATTTCAGTCAAAAAATTAAAAAAGGTTAACATTCCTTCTATTCTCATCACATGGGTGAACATTCTCATCCCTCTCTTCAACACATGAGTTAATAAGTGTTTCATTACAGCTATTGAAAAACAACAGGAGGATTTGTAATGACAATGTCATGGATAACAATTACCTTTACTAAACTTCGGTTGGCTCCATACAATAGCTCGGGCATAAATGATTGTGCAGTTTGAGAAAGGGGCTCACCCCATACTGAACATATGCCAAATATATTAAGCAACACCTACACAGCAGTCAGTCAGTTGAGAGCATATAACCTGTTTGCTAGGAGTCTGCAATTAAAATAGAATTGGAGATCCCTGAACATTAGGCAGTTTTAGCTCACCTGATGAGCAGCCACTACATGCGAACCCATAGACGTAGCAAAATATATAAGTAGACCGTAGAAGCCCACCTGACACGAAATGGGATAGCTTACATAAATTAATTAGGAGTAAAAAAAAATGCTAGGATCAGATGTGAAGTTACTATAATGGTCAAACCTTAGAAACCATGGTTACAAAGACGGGGGCAGCAATCCCTGCTATCACTTGCAGTTCAGCAGTTGATGGAACTGAAAAGGAATACCCATTGTAACCTTTTCTATTCAAACCATCAATCATCACATAAGCTGCAGCAATCTGAAAGATCATTCCCACGATTTAAAAAATGGTGAATACAAACATGTAGACAATGGAATGATGAAACGACTGAATTGGTTAAACATTGATACATAAACAAAGATTTTAATCAGTTAACACACTTGTGATGCTGCAGTAGCCCACGCTGCACCAGCTATTCCATAATTTAAGAAGGTACAAAGTACTATATCACCAAGGCCATTGAGAGCACTGGCAATGAGCAGGGCCTTCAATGGTCCCAGCGAATCTTTCATGCCTAGACTGGAAATTAGAGGCAGGACATCAACACATTAGCATATAATTAGGCTTTTTGTTGATAAACAAGAAATATAACATGCTTCATAATTGCGTGTTTTTGTAGGCCAGGTGCTAAAAGCAACCGATTATATAAAGGTAAATAATATGCAGTGTGTTTTACCTGGCACTCTGAGCAACATAGCCAACAAGAATGGCAGGCCATGCTAAGGCACGAATCTATCAACCCATGCAAAAAAAAAAAACGATTAAGCTGAAGGAAACTTATGTGCCAGATAAATTTGGTATTAAAAAAATATAAGATGTGAGTGTACAGTTACTTGAAAGACATAAAAAAAAATTGAAAAACATTTAATAGGGCATGAGTTCACTTGCATCCTTGTTGAACATTTATGAGTCAGAAAAACAAGTTACTACAATGGTAGTGAAGTTTATTCAAATGTTGATTTTGCAAAGCATGATTGTCAGCAACTTATCGAAAGAACATAAATAATTGTTTAGTGCGAAGAAAAGACATTGTTACTCATTATAAAGGGTCTCCAGTTTTTCCCATTCACAGTCTAAAAAATACTTAATAGATGTAAGTTGAGAAAGAAGAGCTTATATTCAAATTAGGAATGCACAAATTTCCTACCAACTACTTAAGATATGTCATATATATACCATATCTTATTTGGGAGTATTTGAGCACTAAAAGCATAGTGAAATTATTAGCATTTCTGAGTGTTCTGACAATGCTCCTATTCAGATGAACATTGCACATTATCAATTACACAACATCCTCTAATTCCTAAGCAAAGTAAACAGATAGAACACATATCAAAAGTAACAAACCTGTATATACGAATTCGCAGCAGATACAAGATTCACATTCTTAACTCCCACAAAAGCTGAACAAAAACACGGAGATATGAAAAATGAGATGGTGGCAGTCTGGTGATGGTGAAACAACACAATCTACTCAACAGCGGAAATCAAAATCAAGACAGAAAAATAAGGTGTTTTAATTAGAAGTTGGCAGGTGGACGTGGTAGCAACAAAGTTCCTGTACCAGTTTCAATTACCAGTTAAAGCCCATTCACCGAAGCCTTTTGTCAGCAAAAACAACAGCAATCCACTTGCCAGACTGATGAATAGTAACATGGATATCTGATGCTGCACTTGATCCTCATCCTGTTTCAATTACATGCAAGTGGATCGTGACTTTGTGTGCAATATTAAACAGCAATTACAAATCACACTATATGCATATTAGTAGATGGCACAGGCTAATTTGATAGTCAGTGTTGTTCACAGATAGTTCCAATTCCCACCAACATTGGTACTCCGTATCAAGTATGGCATGTGTATGTAGTCTATGTTTGATGTAGTTAACGTTAACAATCATTATGCCTAATGAAAAAATATCCAAAAATATCAAATAGATACATTTCATTCTTGAGTAACTAAAACTAATTGGACATTAATAATAATAAGAATACCAATACTGCAACAGTTCTGATCTTTCAAAGCCTTACAAAACTTACAACCCATTGGATCATTGGTAATAAATGGACGTAATAAGAACAAATTTGTACATAATTTTGTCAGAATAATCAAATATTCATTCTCATTAAAATAAACAATATCTCATTCCTTGATAACTCAACATCACAAATCAAAGTTACTAAACCTGCCCTTTCAACAACTGACATATAATTAATCAATGACAAACTATTACAATTTGGTAAGCACATAAAAGTAAGAACTATAAGATGGTAAAGCAAATGACCTTTTGAGCTAGTGAAGTAGCAACCATATTGGAAGTTGCAACTGAAATAAACATAAACACAAATCCAACATAATCACATAGTACAGTTGCTGGACCTGCCCATTTATTAACATATAAAATCAATCACCATTATATTAAATCAACTTTATAATCATAATCATTATTTAAAAAAAAAAAAAAAATCAAAATCAAAATTACCTAAAGCAGCTAGCTCAAGAGAGCTGCCTTGGCCAATAACAGCAGTATCAATGAGACTCATCAAAGGCCCACAAATCCAAAGCCCAGTAGCAGGCCCAGAAAACTTAATAATCTCAATCATTTGATCCCATGTACTTTGATTAGCAAATTCTTCAGCTTCATTAGTGGGTTCTGAAAATTGAAGGTTTTGAATTTCTGGGTTAGTCTCAAAACTAGTAATTTCGGGCTCTGGTTCATGGGTTTGAAGATTATCACCCAGAAAATCTTGGCTAGGGCTAATGCAGCCATTTTTCTGCAAATTTCTGGGAATTGGATGGAATTCAGGAAAGCATAAATTGAAGGGTTTGAGGAAGGATTTAGGGCGCTGCAAATTGGATGAGAAAGATATATGTTTAATTGTGGGAATATTGATTTGAATGTTAAGAGAAGGGGAAAGTATGGCTTTGAGTTGCATTTTGGCTGGTGTATTATTGTCAAAAGAATTGGAGAAAGATTTGAAAAGTGGAATGGTGATAACGGAATAAACTGATATATTGCAAGTGAAGTAATAGAAGTCGAATTTTGTGGAGCTAAGCAAGTGAGGATGTAAGTTGCATGGACCATTTGGAGTATTGAAGTTAGTTGGTTCAATACTCCAAAATGATTAAAAAAAATCAAATCAATTATGATTAAGGGTTCTTTTTTTTTTTTTTTTTTTGGGTGGAATAGATGATTAAGGTGTTTCTCTTTGGGTAGAGCCGTAGAGGCGATCATGAGTCGAGTTCGGGTCGTGCTTGCCAAAAAAAAAAAAAAAACACGTGACGTTGGACTGGGTCAAGTTGAAAATGCTTGCCCAAAACCTGTAAATTTTAATCAGGCCATTTTGGAAAAAAAAAAAAAAAAAAAAAAAAAAAAAAAAAAACACTAGAATTTAATTTTAAAATGTTTATCCATAGCCCACCTAAAAACCGGGTTGAGTCCATCTTAATCACCTCTATTTTTGGGTCACGATCTACTTTGAGAGTAAAATAGTGTATGTTTATCTTTTCGGTATATTTGATTTTTCCGGTTTTATTATGTAGGTTGAGAAGTAATTTATCATAAGCATGATTTTATCAATTAATAGAGTTTATCAATCAAAGCTTTTAATAGAGAATTCGAAACTGGCCCCTCAATGGAGAAAGAGAAACACACAAGTAGTTTCAATAGAGAAATCAAAATTCTCAAACATCTTCAATGGAGTAGGACGAGAAATCCTGCCCTTTTGGCCTTTTTAGGTTAACCACTAATCTTCACTATTGCATCCACTCCAACCCCTCTTGGCGTTAGTCTCTCTGTCATTGCATGTTTATTAAGGGGTTGTTCATTATTTATTTTTTATTTTTTTTTTCGGATCCTAAAACAAAACTGTGGTAACCATAGTTTATGTATTATTTTACTTGTGATTTTGCAACTATTTACCTGTTTTTATCTTCTTGCAAAGGTTGAACACTTGAGTTTTTTAGGATTGAATTGAGCTTCTTTTGTTGCTATTTTTGCTTAAATCACCCCTAAACTTGTGTTGGTTTGTTTCATTAGTTTGTACCAAATTACTCCGTTTTTGTATCAGTATAATGTTTCAAGGTTGTGTTTACAATTCGACTAGAGATCCAACATACGGAGTAAGTACATAACACAATGTAAATGGGGTAGAGGGGGATTTTCTGCAAAGTTAATCAAATACATAGATCATGATATTTAATTACATTTCACCTTAAGCTACATATATACTTCTATCTCTGAAACTCTAATGTTAGAAATATCAGAGAATACAGTTGCAATTCTTGCAAAGAACTACTATGGAATAATTTTTATGATTGTACATACCCTGATTCCTGCAACATCAAATTTATCCTTACTCGAAGTTGTTGAAGGTAGTTTAACCAATGAAAAGAATTTTTTGAAGGTGTTTGTTGAATCTTTACCTAAGCTACCTTAAGCTCAGCCAATCTGAAACAGTCAAGATCCTCTGAGAATAATACACCACTAGGAGAAAGAAGGCGTCTTAGAGAAATCAAGAATCGTGCCTGCGTATTGTATCAGAGAAAATTGATCAAAAGATGTCAAATGAATTGCTCTGCACAAATATGAGTTACTCCATAACAAACTTGAGAAAAGAAAGGTACCCATTGAAATCCAACAAGGGCACTCCAACAGCCTACTAAACCTACTCCTTGACTTCTCACGAGCTCTCAAATTATAAACAAAGGCAGGAATATGCATCAATTTCACTCGAGAAGAGGGTAACAAATTTTGTGATTGTATGATATTTGCAATGCTAAGGAAGATCAGCAAGATACCAGTAATACAAGTGCGCCCAAAGCAAAACATCCGCTCATTGATATACTAATGAATTTGAGATCCCTGCCAGCCTGCACATGAAAAATAAAAGGTATCTCAAATTCCTAATGTGTTACTTGATCATCAGATCTATAGTTAACAAAATCAAATGCAAAGCACCAATGAAGCAGCATGTATCAATTGGGTCAGCAGAGTTGGCTTTGGGTCTATCATTATAGATTTCCGGAGTTGAAGTGCATATATGCACCAATATTTATTAGGCTTTTGAAATGACATTCATATTTGGTCTTCTTTTTTTTTTCAGTCAGGTTTAGGTCTGTGAAGCTCAACTTTAGGGATTTTGTCGGGTTTTACCCAGTTGAATCAATAATTTGACAGGTTGCCAGTCAACAAATTGAGTGTGATACTTCTAGATATAGCTCTACAAGTGGAATACTATATTCATAGCAATGAATTAGATAAATATACAATAAAACAAGGAAGCAAGTTGGATTTTATTACCAGCAATGTACCCTCACAGGGGAGTATACAAGGAGTCACACTCAAAGCAAGGAAGAAGCAAATCCAAACATTGCGCATCTGCATACATAAACAACTTTCGTTATTGCAATGGAAGTAGGCATAGCTCAAAACCTCAAGATACCTAGATACAGAATGGGCAAAGATTGTAACAAATTCAACCAACCTCTCCTATCACTACTGTATCAGATGTGAAGAAATTAGGAACAACAAAGGGGACAGAAGTTGCAGCAGTTCCTAGAAGAAGTCCAATGGATGCTCCTAATATCAAAAGAGACTTCAATAGAGATCTCGCCTGTTTGTAAAAACAAACTACATGAAATTAAGATATCATTAAAACCTTAAATGGAAACAAGAAATATGTCTTCATGATTTTGACAGTACCTACTGCATATAATGTATTGATGTTAAATGTATACCAACAAAGAAGGCACTCTGTATATTTTTAACAAGGTTAACATTCCTTCTGTTCTCCTCATCACATGGGGGGACATTGTCATCCCTCTTCAACACATGAGTTGATAAGTGTTTCATTAAAGCTATTGACAAACAACAGGAGGATTCCTAATTACAATGTCATGGATAACAATCACCTTTACTAAACTTCGGTTGGCTCCATACAGTAGCTCGGGCATAAATGATTGTGCAGTTTGAGAAAGGGGCTCACCCCATACAGAACACATGCCAAATATATTAAGCAACACCTACACAGCAGTCAGTTGATCGAATACATTTAACCTGATTGATAGGAGTCTGCAATCAAAATTAAAATTGAAAATCACTGGACATTAGGCAGGTTTAACTTACCTGATGAGCAGCCACTACATGCGTACCCATAGACGTAGCAAAATAAATAAGTAGACCATAGAAGGCCACCTGTTACAAAATAGGATAGCTTCCACATAATTGATTTGGAATTAAAAAAAAAATGATGTGATCAAATGTGAAATTACTATAACGGTAAACCTTTGAAAACATGGTTACAAAGATGGGGGCAGCTATCCCAAATATCTCTTGCAATTCAGCAAGTGATGGAGCTGAAAAGGAATACCCATTGTATCCTTTTCTATTCAAAGCATCAATCATCACATAAGCTGCAACAATCTGAAAAAAAAAATGGTGAATACAAATATGTAGACAATGGAATGATGAAACGATTATATCCAGTTAACACACTTGTGATACTGCAGTTGCCCACGCTGCACCATCTATTCCATAATTTAAGAATATACAGAGTACTATATCACCAATTCCACTGAGAGCAGTGGCAATGAGCAATGCCTTCAATGGCCCCAGGGAATCTTTCATGCCTAGACTGGAAATTAGAGGCAGGACATCAATACATTAGCAATTTTTAAGGTAAGAAATATAACCATTAGGAATGCCTCCTCACAAAAATTGAGGCTTTTTGTAGATAAACAAGAAAATACAGACATACTTAATACAACAAATTTCAATTGCATATTTTTGAAGGCCAGGTGCTAAAAGCAACTGATTATAAATGGTAAATAATATGCAGTGCGTTTTACCTGGCACTCTGAGCGACATAGCCAACAAGAATGGCAGGCCATGCTAAAGCACGAATCTATCAACCCATGCAAAAACAAAATTAGCTACAAGAGTACAACAAATAAGCTGAAGGAAACTTATGAACCAGAAAACTATGGGGGAAGGGGAAAAAAAAAGTGAGTGTATGATTACTTCAAAGAACAATATATTAAAAACATTTAATAGAGCAAGAGTTCACTTGCCTCCTTATTGAACATTTATGGATCAGAAGAACAAGCTACTACAATGGTTGCAAAATTTATTCAAATTTTAATTTTGCAAAGCACTATTTTCAGCAACTTATCGAAAGAACAAATAATCATTGGTGCAAAAAGAAGACATTATAACTCATCATAAAGGGTCACCAGTTTTTCCCATTCCCAGTCTATAAAATTCTTGATAAATGTAAGGTGAGAAAGAAGGGCTTATATTCAAATTAGGAATGCACAAATTTTCTACAACCTACTTAAGATATGTCATATACTTCGTACCATAATTTATTTGGGAGTATTATAGCACTAAAAGCATAGTGAAATTCATTAGTACTTCCGACTGTTCTGACAAAATTCCTATTAAGACGAACATTGCACATCATCACATGCATAAAATCCTCTCATTCCTCAGCAGAGCAAAACAGAAAGAACACATATCAAAAGCAGACAAACCTGTAGATAAGAGTTCGCAGCAGATACAAGATTCATATTCTTCGCTCCTACAAAAGCTGATAGAAAACACCGAAACATGACAAATGAAATGGTGGCAGTCAGGGGAAAATCAACTACCACAATCTTCCCAACAGCGAAAATCGAAATCAAGACAGAAAAATAAGGTACTTTCATGAGAAGTTGGTACATGGTAGCAACAAAGTGCCTGTACCAGTTTCAATTACCAGTTAAAGCCCATTTACCGAAGCCTTTTGTCAGTATAAACAACAGCACTCCACTTGCCAAACTTATGAATAGTAACATGGATATCTGATGCTGCACTTGATCCTCATTCTGTTTCAGTTACATGCAAGTGAATCATGATCTTGCGTGTTTACACTATAAGCAGATTACAGTCTGAAATTCTGAACAGATAGTCCTTGTTGTTCTCAGATAGTTCAAATTCTCGCCAACATTGATATGAAGTATGGCACGTGTATGTTAATGTTTGAGTAGTTGACATTTAACAATCATCAACATGACAAATGAAAATTTATCCAAAAATATCAAATACTACCTCCTTACATATTATTTGCAACGATTTGACATAAAGTAGAGAGGAAAAATGTCTAATCGTTGCAAATAATATGTAACGGAGGTAGTAGAAAAATTTCATTCTCGAGTAATTAAAACTTAAGTGGACATTGATATTAATAAGAATCACAATACTGCAACAATTTTGATCTTTCAAAATCTTAAAATACTAAAAGCCTGTTTGGCCAGTTGATCACTAGTGATAGATGGACGTGATAAGAACGAATTTGTACATAATGCTAGATCACCCCAAATTATCTCTTATTCTTCACATATTTCATTACCAAAACAGAAAAACATTTCCTTACAGAAAAACAAAAGGCTGGGGATGAGATTGCATTACTGTGGACATTAAGATGTTACCTAGCTTGTCATATTACACTAAAATTCATTCGCATTACTACTATTTATGATCGGCTACCAAACAGGACGTTAGGATAAACAATATCTCATTCCTTGATAACACAACGTAATCACATATCACAGTTGCCAAATTTGCCTATTCAACACTTGATAAATTATTAATCAATGGCAAACAATAACAATTTGGTATAACACAAAAAAGAAAGAATTATAAGATGGTAAAGCAATTACCTTTTGAGCTAGTGAAGTAGCAACCATATTGGAAGTTGCAACTGAAAGAAACATAAACACATATCCAACATAGTCACATAGTACAGTTAGTTGCTGGACCTGCCCATTTAACATATATAATCAATCACCATTATATATAATAGAAGTATATGTAATAATAAATTAATCACCATTATATTCATAATTTAATAAAACCCCAAATAAAAAACCAAAATTACCTAAAGCAGCAAGTTCAAGAGAGCTGCCTTGGCCAATAACAGCAGTATCAATGAGACTCATCAAAGGCCCACAAATCCAAAGCCCAGTAGCAGGCCCAGAAAACTTAACAATCTCAATTATTTGATCCCATGTACTTTGATTAGCAAATTCTTCAGCTACATTTGTGGGTTTTAAAGGTTGAAGGTTATGAATTTCTGGGTTAATGTCGGATTCTGGTTCATGGGTTTGAAGATTTTCACCCAGAAATTCTTGGCTAGGACTAATGCAACCATATTTCTGCAAATTTCTGGGAATTTGATGGGATTTAGGAAAGCATAAATTGAAGGGCTTAAGGGAGGTTTTAGGGTGCCGAAAATTGGAGAAAGAAAATTGTTTGATCATGGGAATTTTGATTTGAATGTTAGGAGAAGGGGAAATTATGGCTTTGAATTGCATTTTGGCTGGTAATTTGCTGATACTATAGAATTGGAGGAAATTTTGAAAAATAAATAAATTAATGGTGATTAGTTGATTACTGAAATAATGCAAGTATGCAAATGAAGTACGGGAAAAAAAAGTACGATTGAAGAAGGTCGTGGAGCTAAGCAAATGAGGATGTAGAAGTTGCATGTACGGAGTACCATTTGTAATTTGGAATTTAGTGCTGAAGTTAGTTGGTTCAATACTTCCTTCAAAAAAAAAAAAAAAAAAAAAAAATTTCTATGTTATGTACTTCAAGTTCTTTTGTTTCTAATCTGTATCCATGCTTTTCAAAGTTATAAGCTGTGTCCTCTACCTCACGATATTTTATTGACAATACTCTTTGACAGTTATTTTCGTTAACAAAAGTTAAGTTATATATCAACAATGGTGTCGTGGCGTTATTAATTTGACATATGTCATATTCTAATTGGTTTAACACTTTAAAAAAAATTAAAAATCAAAAAAATAAAATAATAATAATAATAATAAAAAAAAAATTATTGTTATTGTTAATAAAAATTAGTGAGGTTGAGGGCACAGCTTAGACATTTCAAAAAGCAGCTTAGAAACCGAAGAATTTTGGGGGCATAACTTAGAAAAAAACCCAAAAAAAAAAGTTGGTTCAAAACTCCAAATGATTAAATGCCTTTTAATCGAGAAAAACTTTTGTATACATTCGGTTTACACTAATATTAGTATCTATCAAGCGATATAAGGGTAACTTTTAGCTAAATTTAGGGTAACTTTTAGCTAAATTTAGGGTAACTTTTTTTTTTTTTTTTTTTGGTAACTTTAAACATAATATTACCTTCGATTTTTTTTAGTTGTAACTGTGGAATATTTTATATCTCTCAAATAATACTCTAAAGTTGCAACGAAAAAAAAAATCAGAGCTAGGCCTGTTCACATTTAGTGAACTGAACTGAACTGATTGAAGCTGAATTGAACTGAAATGAATATTTTATGAGAGAAGAAAACTAGGAGCGGGACTGAACTGAACTGAAATTAAGTAAATGTGAACATGCTCGTAGTATAATTTTTATATAAATAGACAACAAGAAAAGTTTTATAAAGGTAATTTAATTACATTCAATCACTAATAATTAATTTTTAGCCATTTAAAATTTGATACTTTACTAATAAAAAATAAATAATTTTTATTTGTATTGGGTTACTTTTATTTATTTCAAGAGTAACTTTTGATTATTTTAAGATATCTTTATAATAGATGTACAATAATTATTATACACCCGATTTTAAAAAAAAATTGTGTTTAATTAAAGTATATTGGAGGATCCAAGGGCATTTCGAGGATTAGGAGGGTTCCTAATAAAGCGCCTTGACTTGTCAGGTGCATTAGTGGCCTTGCTGTAACATGTAGGCCTTAGCTAGCTTTTTTTGTTTAGTAGTTGTAGCATTTTTGTTCGTTTTTTAGGCTTGCCCCTCGTGTGCACCAAATATATATATATATATATATATATATATATATATATATATATATATATATATATATCAAATCAATCACGATTAAGGCCCTGTTTTCTTCATCTTAATTTTAGTTCAATTTAGTTCAGTTCATTTCAATTCAATTCAGTTCCTAATTTCCTTCTTTTATAAACATTTCAGCTCTATTCAATTCAATGTAGCTCCAATTAGTTTAGTTTTGTTGTTTTCAGTAAATCAAACATAGGCCCTATGTTATTTCTTTTGGCCACTAGTAGAGGCGAGCATGATAATAGAGTAAGGGTCAAGCTTAAAGGATTTTTAATAGACGGGGCCTCTTATGGACAGGGCCCTTATAGGATATGGTCAATATAGGGCCAAAACGTTTTTCCAATTTAATTGATAAAGAAAATAGATAATGTAAAAATAATTACATAGATAAATATGTATTCATATATACTTTGGTTTTGTCCAATATTTATTTTAATTGATATTTTGTAGGTCTGTCCTTTAGCGACATGCGACCGCATAGGCCCGACCACGATATTAACCCTATGAAATGTGACCCTCCTTGACCTGACCTGCATCGACCTTGACCTACCCCGCCCAATAATCAAGTCTACTGCAAAATATATTGTTTTCTTACTATTTCACTATGCAAACACCAAATATATCCCTATTGACATTTTCATTATAAACACAAGTTTTGTTCATTTAATATGATTTTTATAGTCACTTTTCACCTTTTCCTTAAAAAAAAAATATAGTTACTTTTCACCTTTTGATGACCCTTTTTTTTTTAATAATTAATCTCGTCTATCCTCATGTTGCATATATACAAGCCAGATACAACCATACATCTAAAGTAGATGAGTTGTATACTTGCATTTTTGACTTAAGACTATGCTTGATGGGCTCACCTAAATTACTGTAAATTGTTTGGAATTTGCCAAGTTCGGGGCTTAGGAACTAGTGTAATACCCCGTATTTTTATGTATTTTTATAAAGTATTTAAGTATTAATAAAATGTATTATCAAGGGCTCAAGTATTTTAATTAAATATTTTAAAGGGTTAAAGTATTTTAAATATAAAGTTTTATAAAAGTAAAATATGTTTTGGGCCAAATGTTTATTAATTATTGGGCAATGTAAATTATTCCTACATACTCTTATTGGAATAACCCATTCTAAAACCCATAACATAAGCCCTATCCCATAACTCAAGCCCACATTTTTATAAGCCCAAATTTAACCCTACACTCTCTACTCTATAAATACCCCATGAATCCCCAAAAATTTCTCACACAAAAAGGTTAGTTTTATTTTCTCACTCCTTTGTTTTATTAATTTGTGTAATTATAATTATTGATTTATGGGTTTTGATTTTATTGTTTGAAATTAATTTAATTAGTATCAAATTGTATGTTGATGATTAAACTTTATAATTTTCAGATTTTATAAATTTTATAACCTAGGGTTTTTTATTTAATTATTGAAAATCATGATTTTAGGGTTTGTATGAATAATTGATTTAGGGCTTTTATAGTTAAGGTGTTTTTAACACCGAGGGATAGGATTTTTGGCGCATTATGCGTTCAAGGTGTCTTTGACACTGAGGTAGAATTAAAAAGGGTTCAATATTAAATAATATGTGGTCACTAAGTATTCAAGAATTAATTTGGTATGTTTGGTTGATTGAATAATTATTGTTGATTGTTTTATGATGCTTTGAGAGTCATCACCAAGTCCAATAAAAGGTAAATAACGTAAAGTGAAAGAGATTACGCACTAAAACTCTTGGAACGTATATACCTTGAGTATGAACAATAGGGGGAGTTATGGGGTTTTATATTTAACCATAACTTCTAATGGAGTACAAGACGCTGTACATTCCTTTTTATTTATTATTATGCGCAGGAATTCCGCCACCTTTGAGTGGTTTTGTCGCTGGCACGGTTAGTTCCCGTGTCAGTTAACCTCAAATTTATTTGGGGGAGGTTAGTAGGAGGAAACCCGTTCGATGCGTAATCAACGCTAAATGAATTATTTAGTGTCTAGTTAATGTGTCTTGTTGATTGTTGTGTGTGCTTGTAAACAGGTGCAATGAGGTAAGTGTGTGTTGATAGGTGAAAGCATGTTAGTGTGTTTAATTACGCTTATGTACTCAACTTTGCTGATTGTGTGTGTTTGTGTGTTTGGCCATGTCTTTACTTTGGCCCTACGACGACCCATTTTCTAATGGCGAGTAGTGGGGACAAGTAGAGAGGAGGTTTTCAGGTGATGAAGCATATTCATGAATGGGCATGGGTGAAGAGCGAATCATGCTAGTTTCTATAAGTATATGATGTGTTTAACGCTTTAATTATTTTTGATATTATTATCATGCATGACTAACGCAAAAGTTTTAAAGTCGGTTTGGTTTTAATAAGGGCCTACAATGGTTCCAAGTTGTAGGATGGTTTTATTTTACTTCGTTTGACTTTGGTTTTGACTTTACTTTCGTTGGTTGACTTTTGAAGTTGACTTGTTTTGAATGGATTTGAAATTAGTCTTCCGCTGTGTGTCTTTGATGGTTGCCTTAGCCGTTTTCACGGTGGCGGTAATATCTTAGATATTCCTATTTAAATTTTTAAACAGGGCAAAACAAATATTTTAAAAGAAAAGAATTTCTAGGGTGTTACAACTAGGGCCATGATCGTAAGATACACAAGGCTAAATTTGGTTTGACCAAAAAAAAAAAAAACAAAAAAAAAACATGATTTTCAAGGGAATACATAATTTAATATGGAGTAATTGATAGTTCAATCTACTTTTTGGAAAAAAATACTACCTCCGTTACATATTATTTGCAACGATTTGACATAAAGTAGATAGAAAAAATGTCTAATCATTGCAAATAATATGAAACGGAGGTAGTATACTGTACTCATATTACTTTGTAGTTTTTATATATAACTAGTCAACAATTAATTATCGAATGAGTGCTATAATTTGTCTAATTTCACATCTAACGACCCTTTAATAGCTAACTACGAGCTGAATATTTCCATAATATTCCCTAAGAGTTCTCAAAATATTCCCAAAGATTTCACTAGAAACTCATAGCCATTTTTTTTTTTAAGAAAAACATCGATCGAGATAATATTTATTTATTTATTTTTTGGTGCGAAAGAGGAGCAAGCCCCAAAGAAAAATAACTAAAACACAAAAAATAAGAAAACATAACAAAAAGGAAAGAAAAACAAAAAAAAAAACAATAAAAAGACTCCACGACGCTACTTCAATCCCTATTAGAAGGGTTAAGTCTCACCCGAGCCACTCTACTCAAATCCTCCAATAAAACAGCACGAAAATCCCTTGAGATCGTTGAGAAAATCACCATATCAAGATAAATTAATTAATAGCCAAAACATCTGAAAAATATTGTTTAGACTTTAGATCAAATTTTATAATTTGGAGTAATTTTCTTTTGTACTCGTAAGTTGGTTTGAGACTTTGGGCCTTAAAAAAATAAACATTCGAGATCTCCC